TCCTCGCCGTCAACCCGCTTCCCTACCCGAAATTTACTTCCCTTCCCTGGCGTTGTTTTTGTTTGGGTTTAAATTACAGCATTTTTTTTCTTTCACATTATTTACAGCATCCTGTATTTTGTGTTTGAAGTTTATAATAAAATTTAACCTTTATCAATTTTAAATTGTGCAGTTCAGGAGCATTAGGTGCATTCACAATGCTGTGCAGCCATCACCACTGTCTAGTTTTAGACTATTTTATTCCTCAAAGTAAAACCCTGTATTCAGAGCACGCACTCCCCTTCCTAATAAAACAGCTGTTTATACTGAGTGCTGCGTAAAATTTACCAATGCAGAAGTTCTCTTCAATTTAAAGGATCTACTGTCTGGCCATGAATAGTGACTCAAACCAATAAGATGCAATAGGCATCCTCACAAGAGGGTGCAAAGGATGCCTTCACGAGATCTAGAAAGTTTACTCCACCAGACAGTCTAAGAAAGTAAAGGACTTTCATTGTACAGGCAGATAAAACAAGGGTTAGGATGACAAAGGCCCCTGAAAGTTGGCACAGCCAGACCGAAAGATTGCTCAGAATCCTAGTCTATTTGACTGGCTGCCAAATGTACACTGAATGTGCACCTTTGTGAATGAAAAATACTGCCTGCCACACCAGTAAACAAAGGATGCTGTGGCCATCAAGTCAGCAGCCACTATCACCACCCTTGACAGTGAGCTGGAGGGAACTCAGGAAGGAGACAAGCAGGCAGCCCACCCTCCACCAGGACCCCCAGTGGTGCCCCCTGAGGGAACTCAGGATGTGGAAGAGCAGGAGACTGGCCCTAGCCAGCCAGGTGCATATCAAAGGAATGGTTTCAATGAGCCCAGACTTCTGCACCTTCCCATATATAGACAAATGCTAAATTTATTACCTTGAGATTTTTGGTTTTCTTTAATTAACAGGAATCTTTTGATGTTCCGACTATCTTGTCTTTGTTGCAAAAATGACTGTATATCCTAACTCCTCCCCTGGCTCTTCAGAGCAGGGGTCTCAGAGCGATCTGAGAGACCGCACCCTGGGTTTCAGTCCTTAGGAACATCTGCCAAATAAAACATAATGCTCAACTTTTAGGTTGTGCATTTCTTTTCAGTTGACACTTTCCAATTGACAAAACACAGGGGTGAAAAAAAAAAAAAGGGCCCAAGACCAGGTAGAACAGTTACATCTCAAAGATACAGGAAAAGAAGGGCAAGTTCCCTCTACAAGAATTTTTTGTTGCTGTTGTTCCTTTAAGATCAGAATTCTGAAAAGCTGTTTTATCAAGTCGGCTTTTTCTAGCTGTGCACAAAAAAAAAATTAATTTTGGAGTGTCAGAAGACTCCCAATTTGGCTCTCTTTAGGGAGCTATTTCCTTTAATTCCCAATTAAGCAAATACTCATAAGTATAAGTTCTGCACATACATGGTAAAAGCTTCCCAGTGTCTTTCAACCAGGATAACCCAGGTACTTCTTCTTGAAACTAAGTTTCAAGGAAAACCTACTCCTCCAGTGAGATGTTTAATACCGCCAAAAAAACCTTACGATCATCAGTCAATAACAGAAGATCCAAGACCATGACACTTCCGATCCAGACTTAATTAGGACAAAAATCCCTCCTCCCTTCAGGAAGGTGGAGTTGGGATGATAATCAGGGAATACGACCCCAAACCCTTCCCTCCCGAATGAATATTCGGCCCATTCATTTTTACACCCTATGTAGCTAACTTGCCAAAGAAACTCAGGGCAGCCACTCCCCTGAGCCTGCCCGCTCTCCCCTGAGAGTGTACTATCCATCCTTTAATAATTTCTCACTTCACTTTTTTAACTACTACATCTTGTCTCTGAATCCTTTCTGAGGTGGGACAAGAATCTGGAACACTAGTTGCATCCACAAGTGACAGACGTAGATGGCCC